CTGGACGTCCAGAGGTGTTGGGCATGGATGCGATGACAGCCTTGGCGGCAGCAGGCCCTAAACAGCTCTTGAGAGCACTGCAGCAAGCTAAGGGCAACAACGAGAGTACTCCGGTGAGTGCACCGGGCGAGACGAGAAAGAAGACCACACGACAGTACAGTGGAAGCCCATGCCAAAAAATTTCCTGCTTGCCTCCGGGGTGCCCCTGGGTTTCTTGGGTTTCGACGGTTTTGCTATGGAGAGCGTGACGTCCCCACACTGGAAATCAATGGACGTCCTGGGGTCTCGGGGCTGGGTTTCTTGTGGTAGGTTTCTTGTGGTCGAGCTCCTGAAGTAAGTGATACCGGAAGCGAGACACCAACAGGGACCATAAGGTACATCATGCGCGAGGCCAAACGAGGAGACCATGAGGGACGCCTTGCTGGAGACCTTACGAGAGGCGGCACTCGGAGACCTTGACGGGGACCACATGTGAGACCACATTGTAATCCATGCGGCAGACCATATAGAAGGCCATCGGCCATACGGGAGGCAATGCGGGAGTCCATGTGGTAGGCCATAGGGGAAACAGTAAGGATGACCATAAGTGGAGACCATACGGGATGCCATACAGGACACTATGCTGGAGCTTCCAGTGGAGAGCGCAAGAGAGACCACCAGAGAGACCGCAAAGGATATCATGAGGGGTACTAGCCGAGAGACCATGCGGGAAGTCACATGGGATACCATTCGGCATACCATACGGAACGCACCAGAAGGAGGCCATGAGGGAGACCACATGGGAGACCAAAAGGGAGACCATCAGGAAGACTTTGCTGGAGACGACACCGGGGAGCATTCGGGAGACCACATGGAAGACCACGAGCCACCGATTCTGGGTTTGTGAAGGCTCGCGCTCAGGCCCAGAAGCGATGTCTCTCAATCTCTCTCTGCCTCTCTCTCCCTCTCCCTTTTTCCCTCCCTCTCTCTATATGTATATACCTATACGACCACCCTTCGGGTGATAAGGAGGCGAGGGGGGGGGAACGGGACCAACGTCGCACTCGATCGATCTCACTATCGAACTCACTAAGATCTCACAGTCGATCTCAACCGATCGATCTCACAACCGATCTGACTATCGATCTCACAATCGATCTCACACTCGGTCTCGTTATTGATCTCACTGTCGAAATCACAATCGAGCTCACAACCGATAACACATTCGATCTGACTTTTGTTCTCACTATCAAACTCACTATCGATCTCACTATCGATATCTCATTCGGTCTCACGATCGATTTCACTATCGATATCATAATCGATCTCACAATCGATCTCGGATTCGGTCTGACTATCGATCTCACTATCGAACTCACGTTCGACCTCATTATCGATCTCACATTCGGTCTCACTTTCGAATTCACTATCGATATCACCACCGATCTCACTATCGATCTGACATTCGGTTTCACCATCGATCACACAATGGAACTCACGACCGATCTCATTATCGATCTCAATCGATCGATCTCACAATCGATATGGCTATCGATCTCACAATCGATCGCACAATATCCCACAATCGATCTCACATTCGGTCTCACGATCTCACTATCGGTATCACAATCGATCGCACAATCGATCTCCCATGCGGTCTCACAGTCGATCTCACTACCGATGCCACGATCGCTCTCACTATCGATCTCACAGTCGATCTCACAATCGATCTGACATTCGGTCTCACGCTCGATCTCACAATCGATATTACTACCGATATCACTATCGATCTCAAATTCGACCTCACTATCGAACTCACAATCGATCATCAAAATTGCACAACATCATCATCATCACCATCATCATCATCAACATTATCATCATCATCATCATCGGGACACCGACGGGGCACCGACGGGACACCGGCGGGACACCGCGGGCCCCCGGCCGCCCGGAAGGGAATCATTTCGTCCGGCCGCGCCTCAGCCACACGGGAAACCAGCGGGACACCGGCGGGACACCGCGGGGCCCCGGCCGCCTGGAAGGGAATCATTTGGTCCGGCCGCGCCTCAGCAACACGGGACACCAGCGGGACACTGGCGGGACACCGCGGGGCCCCGGCCGCCCGGAAGGGAATCATTTGGTCAGGCCGCGCCTCAGCCACAGGAGGCTTTCTCTCGCCCGCCCACGCAGCTTCGCCTCGCCCACGCGGCACGCACGAGCACGAAACCGAAATCGATTTCCCGGTAGGGGGGCTCTCCGTTCCACTTCGATCTCACCCCCTCACCTCCGATGTGTGGATATTTATGTGCACACTTTGGTTTGCATTGATTTCTGTAAGACCGTGCAAACCAGCTGTTGAGGGGTAGTCGTGGCTCCACGGGCCAGATTTGAGTTCGTGCGCCCGCTCTGGCCCATTCGTGGGATCTGGGCGTGAGCAGGGGCATTGATGGGCCTGTTTTCCACCACCACCACAAGTTGGAGGGGGGAAGGAGGAAGAGGACGAGGAGGAGCACGAGGAGGACGAGGAGGAGGAGGAGAAGGAGGAGGAGGAGGAGGAGGACGGAGGAAGAGGAGGACGGAGGAAGAGGAGGACGGAGGGGGAGGAGGAGGAGGAGGCGGAGGAGGAGGAGGCGGAGGAGGAGGAGGCGGAGGAGGAGGAGGAGGAGGAGGAGGAGCCCCTCCCCCTCCATCTTATGGTGGTAGTGGTGGTGGAAAACAGGGTCATCAGGGGCACTGGTAAAACGTCGAGCGCCCAGCGGAGACGGCGAGTTCTTCGACCGTCGAGCGGTGCGCTTTTCCGGGGCGGCGCGGGAGGCGGCCCAGGATTGAGGCAGGGCGGCGGCGACGGCAGCGGCATACTCCGGCATTGTCGTGAAGACATGCTCTCAACACGGGGGCCCTCAAACGGGAATGGTGACCACACCGTGTGGTGAGTCGGTGGGGATTCGGGGTCTCCGCACGGTTTTGAGACTCGGGCCGTTCTCCGAGGACGTCTCGGGCGACTGGGGCATCAGGGGTCCCAAAACCGTGCGTTGACGGACCGTGCGGTGAGGTCTTGGGGGATTTCGAGGTCACCGCACGGTCTGTCACCGCACCGTTTCGGGACTCCAAATCAACCACCTGGACCGAAGAAAAACAAATCGCCAAAACATAAACTGTTGGCGCTCCGCGCGGATTTCTTGGATCCGTGCCAGGCCCCCCCCGGCGCCGCCCCTGGCGCGCTCCGCGCGCGAGGGAGGGGGGTTTCAGCACAGATCCAAGAAATCCGCGCGGAGCGCCAAAAGTTTAGGTTTGGGCCGTTTGTTCTTCTTCTCGATCACCTGGAACCACATTGGTGCTCTACAGGCCAGGGTACGGGAGCAAAGTGCCAGGGAGATCGGCGGCGTAGTCGCCGTGCCCTGGTGGCGTCCTGGATTGGTTTGGATCTCCGCGCGAGGGTCTTGGACGGGCACTGAGGAAGACGGGTCTTGGACCAGCTTTTCATCCTGCACCTTGGTCCGGGAGTGATGGGCCGACTTTCCACCACCACTTCCATAGGTAGGAGAGGAAGGAGGAGGAGGAGGAGGAGAAGGAGGAGGACCTACCCATCCTCCCCTCTCCCTCGTTCTGCCTGTGGTAGCAGTGGTGGAAAACCGGACCGTCAGGGGAGGACCCCGGGATCCCGAACATGGCAACAGAGATTCCAGGGCCCGTTGCCCCCAGGGCCCCTTTGCTTCAGAGCTGTTGAGTACGCTCTTGCTTGGCCGGCGTGAGGATCGGCCTCGACGGGGAGAGGGCACCCTCTCGGCCCCTCGCCGTCCTGCCGTCGTCTGGCCCTGCGCCGCGGGGTGCCACAGCGTGTTACAGATGTACCAGATGTTCCAGCCCCCCTCCCTGGGGGGGGGGCAGGCAGCATCCGACGGATCCTTTTGCCATCGGGTCCCAGGTCCCAGGAGGAGGAGGAGGAAGAGGAGGAGGGAGTAGGCAGGCCTCGGATGATGCTGAATCGCGCAGAGAGCGTCCCAGAACACTCTGGAACGGGCTCGGCGTCCGATAATGATACGTCCTCCAGACCCGCCGGGTCTCAGAGATCCTCGATGGATCTTCATCAGAAGTTGTCCCCATCCTCCGAGTAGGAGGTTGACAGGTTGACTACTGAATATATTGTACCCCAGTGTTGGAATTCTCTTCGAATCTACACAAGAGACGACGACTGTCCGTAGATCTAAGAGCTTTCGCCGCACTCCGCGCAGATCCGTGTATAATGTCAACTGTGGGGTGCACCGATTCTGCTGTCGATCTCCCATTCGAAAACCCTGCATCTCGCCCCTTCGGCCACGCGCAGAGGGGGGTATGGGGAGGGGGGAAGGCTTCTCAGAAGCATCCCTGCTTCTTAGAAGGCGCCGGCCTTGCCTCCAGTTGTAAGGCCAGCGCCTTCTAAGAACCAGCCCCCTCCGAAGAAGCCTTCCCCCCTCCCCCTACCCCCCCCCCTCTGCGCGCCGCCAGCTGTAGTCGGTCCCCTACTCGACCCCTGCATCTCGTCCTCGCAGACTTTTTTGGTCTGCGGGTCGAGAGCGGACCTCTTCCGGTTAAGAGCTAGGCGGGGCGCGCAAAGCACTAATTGGGGAGACAGGGCGCGGGCGGGCGGGGCCTCAGGCGGCTGGAGGGCGCGGGGTACAGGCGGTGCCGAAGAGCATGCACTTGAAAAGGTACGCCTTGGACAACAGCCGGAGGCGAAGTCCCGAGGGGAGGGCGAAGTGGTGTTGCCGTCGACGGCGCGTCAAAATCACCATCCTCGAGTGCTGCGTGCGGAAGGACGTAACCAGGTCGACGTCCGGAAGGAATGAGAGGAGGAGGAGGAGAAGGAGGAGGACAGCCGAAGGAATGAGAGGAGGAGGAGGAGGAGGAGGAGGCGGAGGAGGAGGAGGAGGAGCAGGAGGAGGAGGAGGGGGAGGAGGAGGAGGAGGAGGAGGAGTGAGGAGGAGGAGGCCCAGCTAGGGCGGGTCGGCGGCGGCCCGCGCGAACCCGCCTCCCCCGAGGCCCAGATCCTGCCCGCCCTGGCCCAGAGCAACCCGGGCCTCGTGCAGGCGGCGGGCGCCCTCGGGCGCATCGGGGAGGTCGCCGTTCGTCGTCGTCGTCGTCGTCGTCGTCGTCGTCCTCCGTCGTCGCCCATCTGTGGTCGTCTGTCGCCTATCGTCCTCGTCGTGCGACCTTTTTGCCGTCCGTCGTCGCCCGTCGCTCGTCGCCAACCCGTCGTCTGCGTCGTTCGTCGTTCGTCGGTCGTCGTCGTCGTCGTCGTCGTCGTCGTCGTCGGCGCCGCTGGCGCTGTCGTTGTCGACGTCGTCGCCGTTCGAGGGTCGAGTGTCGAAGTTCTTGTTTTTGAACATTGTTGGTTTTCAAGGGGCTCCGGAGGCCTCCCCTACCTCCGGATGAAGGCTTGTGAGGGCCTCTGGAGGGTATCTCCGGGGACAAAGGGAAGCAGAGGTCGAGGGGCTCCTTTCCACGAAGAAGAAGAACAACTTTCGGAGGTGTTCTCGGATTTCTTGGACCGTCGCTGGACCACCGAATCGGCGCTGGCCTCAATCTTTTGTCGCGCGGGGCGCGCCATGGGCGGCGCCGTCAGCGCCGTCAGGGAGCGTCCAGCGCCGATCCAAGAAATCCGCGTGGACCTCGGAAGACTTATGTGTATGCAGCTCCCTCCAGGGAACAAAAACATGGGATCCTCATCCGCTTCCTCCGACCTCGGATGTTCTCGCGGGTTCTCGGGTCTCGGGTGTCCCTGGCGGCTCCTCCCTCCTCCCTCTCCTTCTCCTCCTCCTCCTCCTCCTCCTCCTCCTCCTCCTCTGACGAACTCACACACTACGATCGTCACTCGCACTCAGTATCCATCTTGGACAGGTTCTGGTGCAGCTGGCCTGGTTGGATCATGACGCAGCTCACTGCCGAGCCAGTGGTGATCGATTGCCCTGAGCGCCTCGCTGAGCACAGTGTCAGCGATCATGCTGCGCACGTCGTGAAGATCACGCAGCGCGCTCTCCGCCCAGCTTGTGCTCATCGTATCCCACGGCACCTGTTCGAGAACGAAGACTTCCAAAAGCAGCTCAAAATCGTTAGCGGCAAGCTCAACCATGCGGACAAAAACCCCCCCCGCCAGATCGAACTTCACAAGTGGGCAATCCGTGAAGTAGCAGCTGACCTTCGTGATCGACAATTTCACCAGGCCCCTGAGGCAATTCTACTCTCTTACTGCTTGCGCGGCAAATCTCCGCAGTCGTCTGGCGCAACGACCACAAGCTAGCTCACAAGCTTATTACCAACCACTCGGCGGCCTACGATTTTCTTGAGATTCAGAACAACACTGTCCGCCTTCGTCATCCCTCTTCCTTCCAGCACTGGTGTGATGCGATTCAACGCCCGCACGCTGATCAGCTACGCACACGACTAGACGAACGGTTGGCTCGCCCTCGTGCACCACAGGCTCTTCGTCATCAACTTGCTGCGGTTGAACGGCGAGCAGGCATCTGGTCACCGCTGAATCGAAGAATGGTGCTTCGAGCTGTTTAGCACCCGTCGGACCCAACGTGCGCCTCCTACGACTCTGCGACCATGACCGACCGCCTGATAGAGCACTGGGCCCCCATTTTCACTGCCAAGCCGATTGATCTCAGCCGAGCACAAGCTTACATCGAGCAGCATGTCCCGATATTGGATTTCTCCAAGGTTGAACCACCGTCACCTGCTCTGCTTCGACGCGTTGCCAACAAGATGCGCTGCTCCGAGCCGGGTCTGGACTCCATCCCTTGCTCGGCCTGGGCTGCTACTGATGCGGGGAATCATGTGCTATCGGATGCAATGATATGGATCATGCAGGGCCAATCTCTCTTCAAGAGCTCCAATGACACGCTACAGGTCTGGCTCCCCAAGGGCGAAGAGGTTGACGACTCCTTGGCTACTGGCTGTGCGCGCTCCCCTAGTGCTGTGAGAGTACTGGGCCTGCGGAACACGGACATCAAGCTGATTACCGCCACTGTCAACATCCAATGTAGCAAGCTCCTCATGGATTGGGCACCTCGTTCGCAGAGAGGATTCATCCCCAAGAAGAATTTCGGGGTCAACATCCTCGAGCTCGACGTCGCTGCCCGTTCGTACTCGAATTCGCCAACTGCGAGTTCAGACCTCCCCGCTCTGGTTGCACTGGACTTCGGCGCGGCCTGCCCTAGCTTGGCACAGTCTTTCATGTTGATGGTCTTTCGACAAATGCAGGCCCCCTTCGCCTTCATGGCTATACTTGAGCAGCTTTACCATATCTGAGAGATGCCATCGTGATGAAGAGTGGGCTCCCTACTTTTGCTTGGCGTATCTCATCTGGCATCTTCCAAGGCTGCTCGCTTGGTGGGTCGATCTATGCGGCGGTGACGGCTTGTTTCCTTTTTGATCTTCAGGGTCGGATGGGAGGATCACGCATCGGCCTCGCCCGAGCACACGCCGACGACATTGGCTGCGTGGTCAGACGTCTTCAGGCTCCACGCGTCCTTGCGGAGGTGATGCAGACGGCGGAGAAGGTCGCAACACTGGCGCTCAAGCTCACCAAATGCTTGCTCGTGCCGCTCCACGCGCCGTTCCCCGAGCAGCTGGCTGCATCCATGCGCGACTCGATCCGCGAGGTTGTCCCATTCCTTGCCAACATTCAGGCGGCTAGCTCCCTGATGTATCTTGGACTGGCTCTGGGCCCTGCTGCGGATGAGAGCTCGCGCTGGCTGGCGCCCTCTATCCAAGTCAAATTAAGATCAAAACTAGTTGGTGGGGGCCCGCTGGCGGTCTCGCGACTGGCGGTCCACTACGCCACAATAATTGCCCCTGTGCTCTCCTATGTTTCGCAGTTCCGCATGCTGCCGCGGTGGCTCATCCGCGAGGACCTGGTCGCCCTATCCAGGACGTTCAGGACCCCCTTCGCCACCTTCAACATTACGTCTTGGCTTAAACTCCGTAGCGCGGGGGGGGGGGGCCATCCATTACCTCCTGGCTTGCCTTGAGCATTGGGGCTCTGGTAAGGACAGCACGCACTGCGCTCCCTGAATATCAAAGGCTGCACGACTGGATGCACCGCCAACACCATCAGCTGGGCGATCTTCGAGCACTTGCCCAAACCGTTGCTGATGGGCTGCGTCCGTGCCCACATTTCTGGAAATCGGAAGCCTTCGTGGAATCATTGGCCAGAGTCCGAGACTGCTCTACAACCGGCACGTTTCCTGATTATTCGCACGCGCACCTGGCTGCAGCAAACGCAGAGGCTGACCGCTGGCAAGCTGAGCAATCCAAGTCGGCGGGCCTGCAAAGATGCGTCACCTTGCTGATCAAGAAGCGCCTTTGCCCCCAACCGAGATGGAATTTTATTGAGAAGAGGCTCACTCTTCGCTTTCCTGAGCTGGGAGTGATAGGCGACTCGCTGGTTCCTGCGCATAGATGGGAGCACATTATCCAATATATTCGGGGATGCTCGATGCCCTAGGCTTGCTTGCATCGAGACGGCGGCCAACGGCTGGGCGACCTCACGCAGGACGCTTCAGCCTCACGGGCGCCTCTCTTGCCGATTTGGATGTCTTCGCGAGCCGATGCTGTTCATCACTACCTGCAGTGCCAGCCGTTTCGCTTTCTTGGAGCAAGAACTTGGCTACTCGCGGCCCTCCTCACCGCTGGGGCGTCTGGGCCCACTGGGCTCGGCAGCCGAGCTGGACAAGATAGTCCTTGATATTGTGGTGATGTGCTGCACTTATGTTTGTGCCGCCCATTTGTCAGCCGCTCATATCTGGCCTCGGGAGGCGGCGCGCTCGTTTGTCAAAGCGGCCACTCGCACAGCACAGCTTGGTGCTACAGCTCCTTCGAGAGCACCCCTACGAGCAAGGCGTGCTGGACGTGAGCATCCTGACAAGAGAAATGCACCTCCCTGCTCTTCATCGTCCTCATCGTCATCTCCCTCGTTTTCACCTGGGTCGTCCTCCCCGCCTTCGGGCGAGATGTCCTGCTCCCAACCGTCGATGCCAACTCTCGACGCCATTGAAGGCGGGATCGATCTTGCGGAGAGCTCGTCTTCATCGCCCGCGTCACCGAGGTTAGCACCGCCGTCCTCTTGCTTCAGACCATCAGTCCATCGCCACCTCACGCTGCTGCAACAACGTCAGGTCTGGGGGCGCCTCTTGCCTGCTCTGCCACTGTCATTGGCTCTGGAGATATGGTGAATGGGATGTGGGTGGGGTTCGAGACCCAGGTTGGGGAGGTCTGGCAATCTGATTCCCGATGTCCAGCGACACCTGTTTGCAGTATGTTACATCCGCAGAGCATCGTGGCTCGAGCTGGGATGTCCAGCGACATACCATCCATGATCGCCATCGCGCTGGGGCTCCTCTTTCAGCCGCTGGCTGCTGCCCATGGGGGCACCGCCAGCACTGCATATACAACTACGACGAGCACCTCGACTCCTTCACTCCCATCTTTGACCCCCTCTTCGAGTCGCCTCGACCACGAGGGCGGAGCGCTCGGCCACTTCGGCGGACAAGAGTTGGACCGTGATGGCGCTATTCCGATCGCAGCTGCGACTCAGGATGACGATCTTCCTGCGCTTCTTGAATGATTTGTCCCAGCGCCGGAGGAGACTGCCCTTCCGATTGCCGAGCGCCGTCAGGCACTGGTGGGCAGGATTGAGGCTTGGGCCCGTGTGTGGATCCCCTCGTTGCTGGTTAACTTGTGCGGATCGGCTCACGAACAATGGATGCAATGGTGCCCTGACTATGCGGAGAACGTGCCCAGATATGATGACCTACAAATCTTGGGCGCAGGTTGGGCGAACAGGAGACAACTCGCACTGGACTGGTGTCTCAGCGGATGGTACCGCAGTGCCTTTGCACGTGAGCAAATTCGACGTCTCCTTCGTGATCCCTGGCCAACGCAAGATGCGAAGCGGATTCGGCGCCTCCGTCTTTTGGCTTTTGCACTCCTGAAGCAGCTTGGATGGCGCGCCGACCCGACCCGCATGTCCGCAGCCAACCGCGACGACTACCTGTTGCAGATTACAGCGGTCTCCCCGTTTACG